ACCCAGTATATTAGTTTTCCAGAGCTGTGTAATAAATACCACAAACTTAGTGGCTTGAACACAGTCACAGTTAGGGTGCAGTTTAGCTGGGTTCTGAGCTTCAGGACTTCTTAAGTTTGTAATCAAGGTGTCAGCTAGGACTTGGCTCTCATTTGGAGGTGCAATTTCTAACTAGTCACTGTAACTGCCTGGATAGGTAGATTTGCATATTTCATCGAGTTTGGGAAGTTTCACTCTTCAAATAATATTTCTGACCCATTTTATCTTGTCTTCTGGGATGGACTCCTTTTATGATATATTGGTACAATTTGAAGGCATCCCATGTGTTTTTTTTCAAGCTTCTCAAAGTGTGGTCCTGAGGTCAGAAGCATTAGCATCACCTGAGTAGACAGAAATGTAAATACTGAGGCCTTATCCTATTCTAGGTGTACTGAAAAAACTGTAAGAGTGAGCCCAGCTATCTATTTTACCAAGCCTTGTAAGCAATTTTGATACATGCAAAAGTTTGAGAACCACTGGTTTGAACAGTTTTATTTATCAATTTAGGCTAGTCATGCATCTTTTTATTAATTGATTAGATAATTAATTATAGTCACACTTGTTGCACTATACTAAGTGAAAAGCACCGGGGACACAACGATAAGACTCTATTTCTGTTTAAATGATAAGACACAGTTCTTACACTTACTGGATCACTTAGCATTGCTAGAGCACCAAATAACCAGGACATACAGCGGTAGATGTATAGACAAGCAGCAGTGTAGTTGTGCTTAGTTGTGGAACTATATACAGAAATTCATTCTAAAACTGGAGGAGTATAAGCATTAGTTCTGGGCTGAAGTGAGAAAAATCCCATAGATCCATGATGAGATAGTAGAGAGGATGGAAGGGTGATGTTGAGCAACTTTCTATATGAACAGGAAAGAATCATTTTCTACTCTGGCCCCTAAATCAGATATCCTAAGCAAGTGCACCTTTAGCTTTATTAAAATGGAACTATTTGTGGAAATGAGTATAAGGCAAGGTATGTGTCATTTATCATTTAGTGTGAAAGAAGGATCTATGAGCAAATAAAGAAAATTGTAATGGACAATTCCAAATATAAACAAAAGTAGAGAGGATTATATCACGAATCCCTATGTACTTATAATCCAACTTTTTTTTTTTTTTTAAAGATTTATTTATTTATTTATACAAGCACTGGGTACAGTCAGAAGCGCGGGAGGGTGAGAGAATTCACCAGAGCCAGAGCGGGGAGCAGAGCAGGCAGAAGGACTGAAGTACACTGCTGAGGGGAGCAGCGGGCGGCAGGAGAGGTCTGCGTGCCATGTGGGACCCTCCTCCGGTGGCCGGGGAGCAGCCGGGGATCGAACCGGCGCCGCAGAGGCCGCGGTCAACTTCGCAACCCAGCACTCAACCCCTGCACCACCGGGGAGGCCCTATAATCCAACTTTTGAGCTAGTTAGTATGAGAACAAATGAGATCATGCATGTTGAGCTTTTAGCATAGAGCCTTCCTCTCAGTAGACTTGCAATAATGGCTTATGTACCAATCAAGATTCAATCAAAGAAGCAGAATCACTCACTAGAGGTACATTATATGGATTTGGCTTTATGCAGCTGTGGGAGCTAGGTACACAGTGTATGTGAGGCCTTTGTCTTTGTGCCTAGAGATAGAGCCAAAATCAGCAGGATGAATTAAACCTGTTTCAGTCTCATTGACTACAAGCCTCAGACACATCTCAGTGATGTGAGTAACTAGCAGAAGATAGTGTCCTTGTCATGGAGCCATGTAAATATACATTTGGCTCAGTACTTGGCATTGCTCAAGTTGGATCACATGGGAGCAGGAGGAGCTCCAGACCTGGCTGCTTCCCCAGGGCAGTAAGGTCAACATCAGATAAGTATGTGAGGTGCAAGAGAGTCTGATACTCTGTAGTGGCCTTTAAAACATTAAAGAATGCGGCTGTGACTTCACTTTTGCCTTCCAAATCTCTTGCAAGTTGTTTCTTGGGGCTTGCTAACCCAGAACCGAAGGGAAAGAAATTCAGGGATGTGCATTTTCTGTTATCTATTACTATGTAACAAATTACCCCTAAAGCCACAATTTAAAACAGTAACAATTTATTTAGCTCAGAAATGTGCAATTTGGGCAGGGCTAAGTGAGGATAGCTCATTTGTGCTCCATATGGTGTCAGCTTGGGTGGCTCCAAAGACTGGTTAGAAGCTCATCCGGGCCAGAATCATCTAAAAGCTTGTTCACTCCCATGTCTGGTGGTTATTGCTAGCTGTCAGTGGGAACAGCTGGCACTCTATGTGTGGTCTGGGTAGCATGACAGCTTCACACTAGCCAGATTTCTTTTGGAGGTATAGGGTTCTAAAGGTATATGGTGAGAGAATAAGAGAGAAAGAGAGAGAGAGAGCATTCTGGTTTTGCCATTTACTAGCTATGTCACTTTCAGTAATTCATTTATTCTTTCTGAACCTCAGTTCTCAAATTCTAAAAATCAGGACTTATTTTGAGGTTGCAGAGAAGAAAACCCTGACACAATAAATTGAATGAAAGTTGTTTACTAGGCGTTAATTCCAGAGAATATCAGAAGGGAATTGGGAAGGGTACTTAAGAAAGTATCTTTGGGCAACCAGAGCTTAAAACCTCTGGGGAAACACTATAGCATCTGCATCTCAGTGCTGTTGAGGTAGCTGGGGTATTCATAAATCAAACCCCATCAATCATTGGTGACTTTTGGGGATATTAATTCCTTACCACCTTTGACCTGCTGATTTTGCTGCAGATGGGAGAACTGCAACCAATGGATATAAATGCTGTTGGAGGAAATTTAAGCAGGTTTGCATTAAAGAGTTAAACGGATATGAATAGGGTACTGAAAACGGTTGCCCTAGAAAGTTGTTTTTAAAGGCCTTTGGGTGCCTCCCTGGTGGCGCAAGGGCTTAAACACTGCACTGAAGCAATCCGCAGCCTCTACAGCACCAGTTTCGGTCCCCAGCTGGCCAGGGAGCAACCCACATGGTGCAGCAGATCTCTCCTGACTCGCCCGCTGCTCCCCTCAGCAGTGTATTTCAGTCAGTCTACCTGTTCTGTTCCCCACTCTGTCTCTGGTGAACCATCTCACCCCCCCACAACTCTGGCCTGTACCCCAGTTCTTGTATGTATAAATAAATAAAATCTTAAAAAAAAAAAAGGTCTTTGGGTAATTAAGATGATATGCAAAAAAACCCACTCCTGGTGTGATGAGTTGTCTTTCCTTTGTCATTCCCCATACCAGGATTCAAGGGGCCCTGGTGCCTCTTAAGGAGTGTTGACTCCTCTTCCCATCAATGTAAACTTCCTAAAAGGCAATCTGAAGAGGTAACAATAATATAAATGGACTACCCATCTCAATGACTTCAGGATTGATTTTTCTAAAATCTACCCACATCTTTAATAATCTGTCACCTTATTCAGACCTCACTGATGGTTGCTCATAACTGACTCTTGCTCACATAAGGCTGGCTACTTTTCTTTCTTTCTTTTTTTTAAAGTATTTTGTTGGATAATATTTTTATTATTTATTTATTTTTGTGTAGAATTGGGGTGTAGGCCAGAGTTGCAGGGTGTGTGTGTGTGTGTGTGTGTGTGTGTATTCACCAGAGACAGAGTGGGGAGCAGAACAGGCAGATTTACTGAAATACATTGCTAAGGGAAGCAGCCAGCAAGACAGGACAGGTCTGCTGTGCCATTGTGGGTTAGCTCCCGCACTTAGGTGGTTGGGGTGACAGAGCTAAGACTTAACCTCTAGGCCACCAGGGAGGCCCTTGGCTACCTTCTTTAATGTTATTCAAGTTCCCACTTTTTCAGTCACCAACCATGCCCCAACGCATGTATTCTGAACTCATGATCTGGTGACACTGTCCAAGAATTGCTGCAAACCCACCTTCTGACGCCGGACTTCTAAGTTTGTAGTCATTTCATAGTTAACCACACATCTTTGAAAGTTTTTGAGCAGTGACATAATTTAAACAGCCGAGACGATGTTGGTGTGTGGGGTTAGAAGAGGACAAGAAAGAGGGAGTAGCAATGTGTGTGTGTTTGTTTGTGTGTGCGTGATCACACGCGCGCGTGATCACAACTACCTGATGTTGAGGCACGTGAGATGAGAGAATCAGACTTTAGCTCGAAGACAGTGACTGCAAAGGAAGGGACAGATAAGAAAAGGGCGAAACTTGAGGTCTTATATAAAATAAGCAATGGCCTAGTGTCCTCAAACTTGAGTCCCAGTGTAGGTTGCCTCTGGGTTTGCTAACCCAGAACTGAAGGGACAGGAATTCAGGGATGTGCGCAGGGAATTCAGGGAAAGGAATTCAGGAAGGCGGCTTCTCATTGTTCCTCGGAGTCTTGCCCCATGGAGAAGATGGGAATGGCCCTATCTTGCAGGGCTTCGGGGGAATGAGAGGACAGCCCTTGAGGCGCGCTTGGCATGGTGGCTGCAACAGGGCGAAGCGCGCCAATCCAGTTTTCTTCTTTATTCAGAAAAAGGCGGCAGAGCTAACACTCTCCACAGCCCAGGGGTTGCCCTACGTGGGGAGGCTAAGTACCCAGCACGTAGTACGCTCGCATCCCCGTCCGTCGCCTCCCACTGCCCCCCCACCGGAAGAGACCCTGAGGAGACCGAGCCAGCAAGGGCGCCTCAGCGCCTCCGCTCCCCCGCGGCCCACACCGCCTCCCCACCTCAGCAGCCTCCAGCCGCGCACTGTTGCCGGGGCCCGAGCACCGCCCAGATCCACTGAGGGCCAATGGCAGCGCGGCCCGGGCACCGCCCCGCTTCAGCGCCGGCCAATGGTGGCGCGGCGGGGGCACCGCCCGGACCTGCGCGGGCCTATAGCGGCGTGGCCCGGCGCGGGGGCCTCCCCCACCCGGGCGGGGAGGCGGTGACCGGCTCCGCCCCTCTCCCCTCTGACCCGGTGCCTCGTCTCTCCGTCTTCCTGTTCCAAACCACGTGGACGCGCCGGGGGCTGCGGGGTTGCGAGAGGGAACCCCTGTCCTCACAGCCACAGCCGCGGCCGCAGCTGGGGTCGCCGCCTCCACACCCGCGCGAAGTCGCAGCGCCCCGGCCCCGCCAGCCTTTGCTGAGGGCGCGCACATGGCGACCCAGACGCACTCCCTCAGCTACGCGGGCTGCAACTTCTTGCGCCAGCGTCTGGTCTTGTCCACCCTGAGCGGGCGCCCAGTCAAAATCCGAAAAATTCGGGCTAGAGACGACAACCCGGGCCTCCGAGGTAACTCGGGGTGGGCAGCGCGCTGGGCTGAGGGGAGACGGAGCTGAAGCCCTAAGGGCCGGCGCAAGGGGAACCTCGGGGTCCCGCGGTGATTTGGGGAGGGCGAGTAGCGGGGCTCCCCTACATCAGCGCGCGCCCCAGGCTGTGGGGGAGGCGGGGTCGGGCCCTGAGGGTGCGCTCGGCTGCGCTCTGCGCTGGCGTCTCCCGGGCGCTCGTAGTAAACAGCTGCACGTTTTCCAGCATTACGCGTGACTAAAAAAAAAAAAATCACAGGCGTCGCCCCACGCTTGCCTTTCTTTCTTTCTCTCTAAACCGCTCAAAGGAGAAAAACAGCTTATTAGTCCGAAATGTGATGAATGGACAGATGCAGTGATGGAGAGCGATTTGGAGAGAAAAGTACCACTGGGTGGTTCCGTGCCCTGACCCATAACAGGTCTCAGAAGCAGCTGCCCCCTTGGACACTAGCGTCCCTGTCGCCATGATTTCCCCACTGCCCTCACACCTCCCCTTGGCTGGATTAAAGAATTTTTAAAAATTCTGTTTGTTTTCAGCCGTGACTGTGATTGATGTGCGTATGACAGGAGCTTTGGGACAAATTTTAACAGTCATCGGCCCAGTTGTCCTGACTTTAGTAAAGGGTGGTGACAAGCGCTGAATTACTGCCTTCCAAGCTCCACTTTTACTCTGCAAAGGGAGCTAGATTAAAAATAGGCCCCATTAAAAAATCTAGTTAAATGGCGGCGATTTTCAGCTGGCCCCCTGGAACAAGACACATTCATTTAAATGCTTCTGTGTGGTTATCCCAAATTAGGAGACTTGGTTAAAGAAAAAAAAGGAAAAACCTGTCAGCAAATTGGTTGGTTCTGGAAGCTTTCGGGGTCATGTCGATTTGTTTAATTTTGCACTGGCTCTTGTGCTAGGTGGCCAGCCCATTTCATTATCTGTCTAATGAATTTTTTTGACAGTTTTATTTCTGCCTCTCTTGAATGGTGATTGGTTCACATAAGAGCACAATGTGTGTCCTTGATGGAAATGCAAAGTTAGGATGGAAAGAACCAGAAGACTGTCCACAATGTAGAGAGGAACCTGGAGAGAGGATCAGAAAGACTTGTGTTGGTACATGATTCCTGCCCTCAATCTACTGTTCAGAAACACTTAGGAAGTTAAGGAGGGATGGTTAGCATGGTTACGCCCAGTGTTCTTCATTACATCTCTTGCCTTATATTGAGGCTGGCCTTTGGGTAAAGGAATTGCTTGATTGCTTTACTCTGAGGTATTACCTTAACAGCCAGCTCTCCCCTTAAGACCCAAATTACCCCAGAGAATTATCCCCTAGCTGGGTATGGTAAGAAGATAGACTTATATGAACACTAGACACAGCCTTTTTGTTTGTTTGTTTTTTTAAGACTTATTTTCCATGCATGCAAGAACCAGGGTACAGGCCAAAAGTGCAGGGGTGGGAGGGGGGGTGGTGGAGGGGTGTGTGTGAGAGGACTCACCAGAGACAGTGGGGAACAGAACAGGTGGATCAACTGAAACACACTGCTGAGGGGAACAGCAGGCGAGGCAGGAGAGGTGTGCTGTGCCATGTGGGTTAGCTCCCTGGTCGGGGACTGAACTCGTCCTGCAGCAGCTGCCGATAGCCTCACAATGCTGTCTCAACCCCCTGTACCACCAGGGAGTCCCCAAAGCTTTTTTTGTGAAAGAAATAAAAGTATTTTAGATTGCTTACCAGGGATTTCTAAAAGAGATCCAGGGCCGGTGAGATACAATTTCGTGTTTGTTTCTAGACAGATGCCCTCCAAACTAATGCTTAACCTTCTAAAGAATACTTCCCTCTCTTCCTTCATCACTGTAAGCATCTCTTCTCTGTCACACTCATGAATTCCCTTAGCCACCTGACACTTCACTGAAAGGATGCCAGACTCTAGTGCCTATGGGGCAGTAGTACTTGTTGACAGATGTATTGTTATTTCATGAGGACCGCTATGTAGAGCATTATTTGACTCACCATATTAATATACACAGGGGTAAATTAAAATAGACTTCTTTGTGCCAACTTCAAGATCTCAGGAATCTTTGAGATGTTTGCTTAATTTCTAGATATGTGTATATCAGTGAATTCATAGATATATATGTATATATATTTATGTATTACTATGAATAGGTATCTATGCATTTACATATATACATAAATACATGTAACCCTCTGCCATAATATGTGGTCATAGTCAAAAAAAGTTCTTGGTAGTTTGATTGAAGATGTAGTGTTTTGCTTTTTTACCAGTCATCTCTTTCTGACTCTTCCTGACTCAGATTCTCAGAGTTGATAAAACTCAGAACATATCCAGTAAAATCTTTAGCTTAAATACAGGAATTTCATTTCTTGAAGGAATTTGCTTAAACACCCTTCCTGGAGGGTGGGTGTGGTGCTGAGGGCTTGTGCCTCAGGAGCAGTCATTCAGAAAAAAGCTTTATTAAGCCCCCCAGTATGTGCATGACTTTGTGGGGGTATAAATGTGAGAAAGTGGTTTCACTGCTTTCGAGGAACTTCCTTAGTAGGAAGAAATTGAATAAGTAGCTAGGGTATCTTGAAGTAGGGAGACCTGAGTGTTATCTCAGTGGAGTTAGAGCAGAGAATTCCTGGGAGGCTAGGAAGGAGGGCTTTCTGGATGTGTCTGATCTGAACAGACGGGGTTGAGATAGTGCTTTTTTTAAATTTAATTCTTACATAATTTTTCATTTTGCACAATGTATGCATTTTCATTTTGGTTATATTCCCCATACAATTCCCACTCCCCTTATTTTGGCCCTAATCCCCCCTCTCCCATGTGTCTCTGGTTTATAGTTGCTTGTTGATTTTGATTTTTTCTTTATTATAATTAGTCTTTTTCCTGGTCCCTTATTTAGGTTTTCTAAATTCCTGCTATGAGTGAGACCATCCAGTATTTTTCTTTTTCTTTCTGGCTTATTTCGCTGAGCATGATCCCTTTCAGCTGCATCCATGTTGCTGCAAAGTGCATGAGTTTATCTTTTTTGATTGCTGAGTAATATTCCATTTTGTATATGTACCACATCTTCTTGATCCAGTCATCTATTTTTGGGCATTTGGGTTGTTTCCATAGCTTAGCTATTGTAAATAGTGCTGCTATAAACATAGGGATGCAGGTGCCCTTTTGAATGAATGTTTCTCTGCCCTTTGGGTAATGAGAGTGATTTTGAGAATAAAAGTTTTTTATTAGATTGAGATAAAACCTTTATTTTGGCATGGTCATACTTTTTCAGAGTTTTTAAGAACTTTTTTTTTAAGATTTATTTATTTATTTATACAAGCACTGGGTATAAATATTTATTTACACAAGCACTGAGGGTGAGAGAATTCACCAGAGCCAGAGCAGGGAACAGAACAGGCAGACTGACGAAATACACTGCTGAGGGGAGCAGTGGGCGGCAGGAGAGGTCTGCGCACCATGTGGGACCCTTGTCCGGTGGCTGGGAATCGAACCGGCACTGCAGAGGCTGCGGGCATCTTCGCAACCCAGCGCTCAACTCCTATGCCACCAGGGAGGCCCGAGTTTGATGTCTATTTTAATGCTGGTTCTGCCTTTTGCAATTAGTTCTTTGACCTTGAGCAAATCTGTAATAATTTAGCCTTGGTTTTGCACCTATCCATTGGGTCCAATACTACTGATTTCATATGGTTATTGTGAGGATTAAATGGAATACTTCAGAGTGCACCGAACAGTGCTGGTATGTGTGAAGAATAAATATTATCTGATTTTTTTATTATGTAAATTCTATCCTCTGGATATAGTTCTGCTCTTAGGCACCCAAAATCTGTTCCCATTTCTATGAGGAAACACTTCAGATATTTTAAGAGAAGGGTGCCTTTTTTTTCAGTTTAAAGTTTCTCCTTTATTTTTTTATTTTTATTTTTTAAAGATTTATTTTTTATTTATTTATACAAACACTGGGTACAGTCAGAAGCGCGGGAGGGTGAGAGAATTCACCAGAGCCAGAGCAGGAAGCAGAGCAGGCAGAAGGACCGAAGTACACTGCTGAGGGGAGCAGCGGGCGGCAGGAGAGGTCTGCGCGCCATGTGGGACCCTCCTCTGGTGGCTGGGGAGCAGTCGGGGATCGAACTGGTGCTGCAGAGGCTGCGGGCAGCTTTGCAACCCAGAGCTCAACTGCTGTGCCACCGGGGAGGCCCTAAAGTTTCTCCTTTAATAAAGTGGTGTCTCTCAAATATTTGCGTGCTGTATGTATAATGTAGTGGTTATAATCTAGAGCATTTTTTATTCCTTGGAGACGTTTGGCCATTTTTGGAGAGACTTTTGCTTCTTCACAACAGGAGGCAGCTCCTGGCATCTGGTGGGTGTATTGGACAGCTCCCCACACAAAAAATTATTATGTCCAAAATATTAGTAGTGCTGATGTTCAATATCTGGCCTGTGGACTTAATTAGTAAGTCTTACCCCCATATCCTTAAGATTGGTAATAGATTTTGTACCAAGAAAATTGTTTAAGCATTCAGAATGAGATGAGACACAGGTCATACTGACTTCAGGCATGTCAGTTAATATATCACAAAACTTCCTTCTAAGATAGAGGGATTGTAAATAATGAGAAGAATCCAAACTCCAAAGAAAAATGATGCTGGAATGTTTTTTATTTATCAGACAGCCACATGTGTAGTTTTTGCTTCACTCTTCAGAAACAGAACATTTATGTTCTTATTAGACTTTTCTATCTGTGCCAAGAACTGGGACAAAAACCAAATGTTTCTTGTTATATCACAATGATGGACCTGTACTTTTACTTTTACTGGAGTTGGGGAAGACTTGATGACTGTGCTAATTAGTGGACTGTATTAATTAGTGTAGATAGAATATTTTTTATTTGATTTTGATTGGGTACCTGCCCTTTTATACTGCTGTTGACTGTATTGACCATTAAGGTTCTCTCCATGTGATGACTATTGGTTGTCCAAAACAAGGCAC